CTGGAAACTGCAGATCTTTCAGCTGCAACTTACATATTCAGGAATATTAATAGGACAGCCAGCATGAGATAAAAATGAGCTACAGTTTTTGCATCTTGTTCATGTGCATGACAGGGCAGTGGCTTTGGGCCGCTGCTAACATGTTTGGTTTTCCTGAGCTGGCCGTTCAACTGTGTGTGTTGTTTTGCTTGTGCTCTTTGGCTTTGAGCTCCCATGTTATACACTCAAACCAAACCCTGGATTTGCAACCCTGGATGCAGAAATCGTCTCTGTCCACAGAACAGAGACTGAGTTACACCATCATTGTACTTCAACTCCAGATGCAGGGACCAGACCCCCCCCTCCACTTCAGTTAGAGGGTCATTCTGTTTTCATGGCCCATTTACTCTCTTACACTAGTGAAAGCCAGTTAGTACTGAATATGGGTTTGCAGTGTAGATTTTTGTCCGCTGCAGACTGAGACTGCTGAAGTGATTATATTGAGGCCATGTAACTTAGCTTATTACTGAAGTGACCAGGATTTGGACTTATGACTAAAAGGAGAAAAGCTGTGTCCTATTACCCATCTTCTGAGCACTGCAGTCCCCTGCCTTTTAAAACATTACTCATTCTGTAATTTTGAGAAAACAGCATAGAGAGGCTGACTGAGGGGATCTCGGTCTCAGAAAGGACAGCAAACATTGTGCAACTGTATTTTTGTGAATACTTTCCATAGAATCATAGAATAGTAGGACTGGAAGGGACCTGTAAGATCATCAAGTTGGGTCTTCTGCCATGGGCAGGAGGTAATAGGGCTCAAACAAGCTCAACAAGGTGCTTTTGCTGGGTGATATTTGATCACCTCTCCCAAGAAACATAGATAAAATATTAAATTAGTCTCCCAATGATAAGTGTACTTATCATGGCAATGGAGATGAGGCTGCAGCCCGCTTAAATGGTTTTCCTTCCCATTTAGCATTTCTGCAGAGCCATAAGTTTATGTGGTACTATGCAGACAAAAGAGATCACTAACCTAAGGAACCTGAAGTACAGGTTATGCTGCACAGATGTCTGTATAACAAAAAGAAGGTGCTAGGGAAAGAGGAGGGTCACAGCAGAGAGAGCAGCAGGTGTGCTTGAGTAGCTCGCATTGTTAATTATTATTTGGGTCATGATAGGACTCCATGTCCTGGATCAACACTTCTTTGTGCTAGAGAAGGGGTGTTGGACATATGGCCCGTGGGCCGGATTTGACCGTGGAGCCCTGCTATCCAGCACATGCTGCATGTGACTTACAGTGCTGGACTGGCCACGTGCAGTGCTGTGTACAGCTCCCTGCCGGCCCGGCTCTGTGCACTGGTTCTGAGGGAGTCTGGTTTGACCTGCAGCCCAGCCTGCTGAACCTTATCTGGCCCTATGGTGTTGGATTAGTTTGATGCTCCTGTGCTAGAGCACTGCACAGGCAGAACACAAAGATGGTTCCTACGCCCAAAACTGTACAATCTAAGTAGTCCTGTCCCACTCGCATTGTACTTGTGTGTATGCCAAATGGACCTGATTGCTTTGCCTGTTTCATAACTACTTACTGGCAGTTTTGCAGGAGACAAATGAATAACAGGACAGGTGCAAAATCCTGTGTTGGAAGACCAGCTAAAAGACATGAGGCTAAAGGTGGGATGCAGGGTAGGAGAAAGAGCTTGCATTATACCTTGGATTGGGGTGGCTATTCCAAGAATGGTGGTACATTGCATAGTTCTCTAATGTGTGCATGCCTCACTTCTGTGGCAGTGAATCAATGCTGATGTTGATACACATATTCCTCTAAGTATGGGTACAGTCATGTGGGCTGTCTAATACTAGACTGGTGTGAAGCTGGAAATAATACACTTACTGTGGAAGGGGGCTGGGGACGAAATCTTCCAGTACAGTCTCAAAGTAAGCTAGTGTCCTCCTCTCCAAGCTTCTGGGTGGCTGCCCTGTGTCCAGCTGGTGCTTGTGCCTAACTGATTGTAGTCCTGAAATGCCCCAGAGGCAAAGTCTGCTCTTGTGTCAAAGCAGACTTATGTACTGTGCACCTTGTGCTGTGCCTTGGTGCCAGTGTACAAATACAAAGCTGCCCTTGGCATGACTATGGTGGGGATGGTGTTCTCTCTTGCACTTTTCTCCCTCCTATAGCACTCCTGCATTTTTTACAACGTAGCTCTTATTTTGTAGTTAGAGAGGGCAAGAGCCATTTTGGCTGTCATTGGCTTTCTGCTGTAGCAGTGTTTTTCAGTGAAAAGCTGGCAAGCATGGTTCACTCTTGTCCTGGTGACCAGTTGACCGCTACTTTATGCCATCTGTATGGCACACTGTCCCTTTCCAGTGCATGATTCCAGGAAAGTGATCCCATTGGCAGAAAATCTCTCTCATGCTGCTCACTTAACTACACTATAGTTCAGTAAAAAGGAATTCCTGATCTGGGCCTGCCCAGTGACCTCATTGCAAAGCGAGCTGGTGCCAGGAAACAGATCTCCCTTTTGTGATCAACACTGCCCAGCTCCAGGAGGGTACTCTTTGACCAAGTAAAGCAGTGAGACTAGGATACTCTAGAAGAGGAAGTCTGCAACCTGGAGCCACTGAGGAACATGGGAAAGAGAGAAATGGAGAGAATCTCACAGGATTTTCATCTTCCAATAAAAGAACTAAACCCCTCTGTTGTAGGCAAGCAGATCTCCATTATTCATACCTGCTTATGTCAGGGTAGATTTTTGCCCTTCAGATAAGGAGAGATACCAATGTGACAGAAGCCAAAAAGAGGCAAGGCAGCAAGTAGTATGCATAGGCTTCCTCTAAAGAAATAAAGCCCTGTTTCAGGTTGTTCCCATAATATGCTGGCACAATGCACAGACTGAGTCATACCATTAAAATCACATTTTTTTTGTCAGTCACTGAACAGCGGTACAGAGAATAGGTTTTTAGCTCAGCCTGTAAAAGGGTTGTGAAAATATTTACAGTGACTTGGAATAGTTTACTGTACAGGGAGAGAAATGTGCAAATATGTCCCGCTATTCCTGTTGATTCAGCTAGAGGAGGTTCAGGCCCTGATATCTGATTGGTGGGGTTGTGCATTGGGAACTCTTCCTTGTGTCTTTTAAACAAATAATCTTTTGGGTCTTTCAAAGGGATGTTTAAAGGAGCCCTGGAAGAATAACTGATTGTGGATTCAGAATGATGAAGTGGTTTGTGGAACAGTGAAATATAGAGGCAAATGCAGGAGAACTCCACATTGTAATTTGTCAGCTTCTGCAAACCCTGTAACAGATTATTCTTTCCCTCTGTCGCTTCTCACCTCTCCAATAGGAAACTAACTGATGCTATCACTAAAGAAATTGTTTTTGCCTCACGAAGTAAAATTGATACTATAAAAACCCACCAGCAGTGTCTCCTCCTCCTTTCACATGAAGACAAATCCTTCCTGTCACCTACTGAAATAGAAAGATAAAGGCTAAGCTTTAATAAAGAAGCTATTCAAACAAAGCGTTGAGGGGGCGGGGTGGAGAGAACAGGGGGTCATTGCTGAAGGTGTGATGCTGAAAGATACTACAGATGTCCCAAGTGCAACCCCCATGGACAGTGTCTGCGTCCGTCTGTCCAGCCATTCAGGTATATAGTTGCCTGTGTCTTATGTACTATGTGGAGCTTAAATTTGTTCAAAAGCATATGTCAGTTCGGGTGCCTAATTTGAGACATCCTAGGTCTGGTTTGTCAGCAGTGCTGAGTGCTCACTCCTCCCACTGAACCCCCTTTGAGTAATGGGCATCTTGCTCTTCAGAAAGAAACCTTATGGATGTCTCAGTTTGAATGGCCCAAAAGCTAACACCCCAAATTCGTAGGCATATTTTAAAATATAGTCATATTTTTGACTGTCACATTGTTCTATATTGTCCATGTCTAATACAGTATAGGTTTCATTCTAACCTGTTTCTTAAATTATTTGAGAAAGGCATGAAAGAACTCCTATAGGGTAGGAAAATATCTGCCTGTCATATCAGAAGAGGAATATTTTGAAAAGGTTCAAGTGAAATCAGATCAGCCATTTATGTGATGGAGGGGGGGAAAAAACATGTTTCCCCATGAATTCCAGTCCATTTTCACACTTGCCTCGGATACTATCAATCAGCTTCCTTTGCACTATTGGTCTAGATGACTGCACTCATCTGCTGCGCAGTTACTTTGGTTTGGGTTCTAAACATTTAATATCAGCATCTAGAGGTTGACAGTTGTAACACTTTTATAATTTCACATTTGGGCACTTGATTGCTGATTTTTGTTTGTCCAGCTCTTGTTAAATGTGTACTTTAATGCATTAGCATTTGTCAGCATGGAACATAAAATATGCAAGATACATGATTTTGGAGAAAACATCTGGAATTTCCTGATGCGTGAATGCTTGAATTGACATGACTTTACATTGTGTTGCCTCTGGAGTTTTTGCATGTAATGAGGTCAGGTATGCATATGCATGCATATTTAACTGTCCATGGGCATGTGTAGACTTAAAAAAGAGGTGGCTGTTCATGGCAAATGCTGATCTACAGTAGATCTTGAGGATACCCTTTGCCATTCCCTGAAAGACCTTGCACCACAGCTACATCTTTTGAACAACAGGGCTGAAAGGATCTCCCTTGTCCCAAGGTGAACTCCCATGCCCTGTTTCTCTAATATCCTGCATCTAATGGCTAGAACTAGGCAGACCTTTGGTCTGAGCCAGTGCGGCAGTTCTCTTCCTGTGTTTTTAGCATGTTATCTCTGCTGACCTTGGGGAGGGCTAGAGCCCTGGGTTTGGACTCCTGTGAAATAGGAATGGATATTTGGTGCTAGCAAAGAATCGTCATCTTCTCGTTTGGCATCTCCATTACTGGATTTTTGCAACTGTGGATTCCCGTTCTGTGTAGTCTCAGCTAGTCTCTTTGCAGACAAATAGCTTCTTCATTCTGCCATCAGCTAGTCTATAAATTCTCCTCCTCTCTCCTTTTCAGGGGACATCAGAAACCTGCTAAAATGGATCAAACAAAATCTGTTGAAAGAGAGAACAGAATTATTTATTCAAGGGGACACTGTGTAAGTATGGATGCTAAGGACCGTCCTCATGAGTCTCTCTCTCTGCCAATTTCAACAGGAAGGTGCATGGTTCTTCTGCTAGTAGCATGAAGGAAGTTAGTATCTGTAGAATACAGGAGGTGCTAAAAAGGATGACAAAGAAGAGTGACTCCCAAATTTCAGCTCCTTCTAAACCTTAGCCTAACCCAGTTTCATAAAACAGTGCATCCTTCTTGCGTAACCCGCAGCACCAGTTGTCTAGATCTGGAGCATACACGTCCTCCTTCCCTTGTGTTGTTGCTTGGAGCCATGACGTTGTACATAGCTTCCCAAGGTAGACCCCTGCCGCTCCCCCATTTGCATCACTGGGCCTGAACCAGTTGCTCTCAGAAGCACCAACAAATAGATCTTCTGGGAAATGTATTTTATTTTTAAAATGGGGCCAATCTCATGGAAAAAGGCCAGGAGAATTGGAGCGCTGTGCAGGCAGCCCTTGGCTACAGGATGGAGGCTGGGGGTGTTTAGCATTCATCACAGATCTCTGTGAGCTGAAGCAGGTGCCAGGTCCCCTGGTAACAGGAGAGACAATGCAGGACACTGAAGATCAAAGAGGGGAAATCCCTCTGCCTGTAATCAGGGGCTCTGAGTTGATCCTGGGTGTTTACAGCCTTTAGCAGGGGCACTGCAATTGCTTTCCCTGGCTCTGCATCGACCTCTCTGTGCTCGATTGCAGTATGTGGATTTTAATTACCTGGCTTTCCTACATTGTCCTGAAATGTAGTCATCTCAGAGCCTTCTCAGGAATGGTGTATTTTGATTCAAATGAGCTCTGGGATCTCTCTTACCTCCCCTTTATTTGATCTAGAAAGGGCACTGCCTGTACCTATTTCCACCTCTGTGCTATGATTCCCTTTCCACATCAGCTTTACAGGCAGGTTGCCTGTGATCTGCTTTAGCAGCCAGTGTTGTTAACTCTTTGTGTAGCATTTTGCAATCCCATATCCTAACAACTTCTGTATGTTCTGCAGGCGACCAGGAATTTTGGTGCTCATCAATGATGCAGACTGGGAGCTAATGGTCTGTACTACTTCAGTTGTTTGTTCTTTATTGAGAATATTGCTCTGCCTGTTTTATGGTTGTTTTGGGGACCGCTATTGCAGATTCTTGCCCCGAGCTAAGCATGTTATATCCATGGGGGTTGGGGAGCCAGTTCTCTCTCCGTGTGCTGTACTGCTGTGGCTGTTTCAAAGCCCTGAGCTTTTGTTTAACCTGCTGAGACGCAACAACCAGTCAGTCCCCAAGAAGATCCCCCCACGTTCCCTGACCTCCAGCAATGAACTCTGCTGGGTTGGTCTCTCTATCCATGCTTGAGAGAACCCCTTAGCAGGCTACCAGATGGCTTTGCAGCCTTGGGCAGTTGTGTACCATATAATAAGATGGGTGCTTGAGAAATAAAGACTGCATCTCTTGCTTAAGATCAGGTTTGGATGTGCCAGAGTGGCTGAGGTAAAGCAAGCAGAGCGGGCCTGTGGAGGGGTTTGGCATGCTGGGCAAATTGGGTACCACCGTCACAGCTGCACAGTGTATCTAACTATTTGGCTGCCTCAGGCAACCAACCACCTGTTCTGCTGATACAATAGTCCTCCCTGAGCATGACCATTCTCCATGTTGGAGAACAGCAGCTCCTTGGTGTGCCTCCCCAGCTTTTCCTTATCTTAAGACGAAACCTCAGTCTTCCCCTTCTGTATACCAGTGCTCTGGCATCTTTTGTGAGGTTTTCTTTCCTTAGTTAGTCTTCATTTGGAAATGACCATTAAATCATTTCTTCTTTTTTCTTGGCCTGCAGGGTGAGCTGGATTACAAACTCCAGGACCAGGATAACGTGGTCTTCATCTCAACATTACATGGTGGTTAAATTCCTGGAAAATGTGAGGACATAAAACAAGAACCAGTGGGGCAAAACACCTGAGCTTCTTGAATTGTTCATGCCTAGTTTCCAAGTCATGTCAGCTCATTTACAGCGTGTTCTTAGTCATGTTAATAAAACCCATGCCAGTATGTGGCCCTGTGTGCACTTAAGTGGCAGCTTCCCTGTGGTTCTCCGGTAATCTGTCCTGATGCTGCAATCCTAAGGGATGAGAGAGCACCTACAGCCTTTGTTGACTTAATTTCTCATTCTCTGAAGGGGAAAATATAGTTTCTTGGAGTACGTGTGGGATGATGCCTCTATCCTGGAGGCAGAAGCTTGAGGGAATCATGGCTATACTTCAGGGCAAGGCTGTATAGACCTTGTTTTGACTGCAGTAGCTGCTGCTGTTTGTACTGTTCTCACTTGGTAGAGTGCCTTTTATACAAACTGTATCCCAAAATGCTTTTCAGAGTTAGTAGGCAAAGCTGAAAGGAAACGTGAAGTACAGAGAAGCAGGGAGATGATTTGGGGTGAAACTGCATGAGGTTGAGAGTTGATGGAAATGTACGCTGTGGGGGGTAGAAGGGGGCTGGCACTCATCTCCTTTGCCACTCTTCTTTGCAGAGTGTATGCGAGTCTGTTTCAATTCTGTAATGCACCTGAGCAAAAGGAGTGTAGAGCACTGCCAAATGAGAATGGAAGCCTTTTATACCTACTTTTCTTCATGTCTTCTGTGGCTGTTTGCATCAGTGCTTCAGAGCATAATAGGACTGCCTGGCAGGTCAGGTGCAGCAGAGTGCATTGCTGCTGAGATGGGAGGGAGAAGTGCAAGAACTAAAATGAATTGTTGGATAACAAATTCAGCTTTTAGTGTGTGTGTTTCTGTTCTGGGGATAGCTTCTGAAGAGCTGGAGACCCAGAGATTCTGCAGGGTGCCAGCCATCTGGGCTTTTTAATCTGAAAAGTAGCAGCTCTTTGCAGCAGGTCTTGATCAGTCTGTGCAAGTGAAGCAGAGTTGATACTCCCTGAAACGCAGCATCTTTCCCTTAACCATGTGTCTTTTGACCCTTCCCTCGAGAGGGACGCAGAGACGTCTCCAAGAGATCAGATGTTGGTGCAGCCAAAGTGCTATTGGTGCAGAAGCCTTAATGTTAGGACAAAGATGTCATTTGGTTTCTAGAACTATTGCTGAAAATGCAGACTGACCCAAATGGCCAGGAAGGCTGTTCTCCCAAAGGTCACGTTTAAAGCACTGGAGGAGTGTGAGAGGTGAAATTCCTGTATGTAAAACGAATGAGTGGCACCAACCAGAGTGTGGTAGTGAGAAGACTTCCCCCGTGCCTATCCCACTCATGATCTTTGCTAGCTGTTGCCTGCCAGTACAGCCTCTCTCTATTCTGGTACTGATTCTCCATATAATACAAGCGGTGGCCCCTACCGTGCTTGGAGCCCTCCTTAATTGTTTCAGGATAGTGGGTTTTCTTGAAGCAGAGGTGGCACTGATTTCAGCCAGCTACTGCATGTTTCCACCCCCCTGTGTCAACAGAGCTGACCATTGCTATTGTTCCTATCCTGGGTCTCCCTTGAACTGGTTGTGTAGCAGCTGTCATGCTGCAGTGGACTGCTGGCCTGTCAGGAAGGCTAGTCTGACACAGGCAATAAGTAGCCAATACATGAATCCTTCCCCGTGCTGCACCTAATGGATTAAGCATTTTGTATGGTAGGAAAGGAGTACAGAGACCAACTCCACTGCTGTGTGACCTGTAGTGCTCAGTTTGTCTGGTTTACCCTGAAGAACTAGAAATCCTATTGAATGGTGATGATTAGCTTGTTAATGTTCCTAAAGTGCTTTGAAGATGAAAAACATGAAGTGTTGCTGGTAATAAAATTAATATTGGGCCTCTTTGAAATCCAGGTGCAGTAGCTGAGCCTGGCTGCTGCAGCTGTGAATTACACAAGCCAAAGGCTCTTATTTGTTCTCAATTTACCTGCTATTAACTTTACTGAGTAACTCCCTTGCAGACAAAAAGTATAAAAAGGCTTGCAGATAAATCTGAGGACTAGCTGGAGAATAGCAAATTCCTGTTGTGCATGACTTAAAACAGACTTGAAATGAGGAAGGAAGATGTGCATTGATCTTCAGAGCCCCTTTCTGCCCTGATGTTCCTCATCTTAAACTGTATTCGTGCCTTTGGCTGGTCTTGTCTGTGTTTTGTTTTTATTTTTATTTTTCCCCCTGCTGTTTGCTCAGGGTAGGCTGAGTTTCTTTATTGGGAAGCCTTATTTCCCTTAAGGGTGCAGACAGGCCCAGACGGATTAGGTTCTGCTGTAGTAAAAGCTGCCAATCATGGTGAGCAAAGCTAGAAATATCAAGGTGAGGGAAACTGGGCATTGAGAGGGAAATGCAGCAAATTCCTGTATTAGCAGAAGTTTCTGAAATAAAAGGCTTTTTGAACATGCTTTGCCTCCAGCTTTGTCCTACATAGACTCTTGGTTCAATTTTGCTCCAGTCTGGTAATGTTTCCTTCCCCCTCCCCCTCCTGTGTTTCCTTGGTAGCTCCAGCACAGTTGCTTTTCTTTTGGAGTCCTTGTGCCTCTCTCATAAAACCTCCTGATTGTGGTTTAATGGGAGATGCTGACTTGTAATGGGAAGGATGGTTTCAGATCCAGGGAACTCTCTGCACTTGCTCCCTGATTTCTCCTCTCCCTCCACTTCAGTGGGAAGGAGAGAGACTAGGGCTGTAGAGCAGGGGTTAAGGACGCCTGGAGACTTGGCACAGCAGTAGAAGCAGGGTGCTGCCTGGGGGCCGAGGAATATTTCAGACCCACCTGCTGTCCTTGGGGCATCTTGGCCTGCTAGCAGCTGCCACTCTGTGCCTTCTAGAGGCCCTTGCTCCATTTCTGTTCTTTGCCTTTTTCCCTGGTCTGGGCATGCTCTAGTCCCACTTCCCTGGGAGGCTGCCCAGAAGCTCCCCGCATTCAGAGGGCTGGTAGATCAGGGCTGCTCTCTCCTTTGCCCAGGTAACAAAGGGCCTGGGGGAGCTCTAGCCCTGCTCACAGGCGTCAGTCCCCCAGGCGGTGGCAAGCATGGGCCTAGCCCCAGTCGCATCCTTCCCTGCACTTAGCTTAGGAGCCTGGTCCCCTCTCCAGGCCCCTGCCCTGCTCTCTTGTCCCTCACAGGCCGGCCCGGCCGCCTCGGGCTTGAGCCTGTCCCCGATGTCGGCTCCAGCCGGCCCTCGCAGCCTCTGGACACCGCAGCCTCGCGTGGGGCGGCCCCGCGATGGGGGGCGGGGGCTGCGGGAGCTTCCAGGAGGGCCCTATCCGGCCTCTGCTTTGCCGGACACCCCCGCCACGCGGGCCGCGGGGGGAGTAGCCGGAGCA